TCAGCACGAGATCACCAAGGAAAACAAGAGCAAAGCAAAGCCAAAGGGCATGAGCGAAGTGGCTCCACGAGGTTAGGACAATAAACAAACAGAAAACAAAAAAAGAAAATAGTATCTGAAATCTTACTTCGGTATCCCAAATGATGATGGGGAAGGAATATCTTTAAAAGAGAACTCAAACGAAGAGTGCTTCTTTTTTTTTTTTCCTTGTCTTGAGGCAAAATAAAAAATTTAGTAAAGTTAGATGATCAGAGGGCTGGAACACCTCTCCTATGGTGAAAGGTTGAGGGAACTGAGCTTGTTTAGGTTGGAGAAGAGAAGCTCCAGGGAGACCTCATTGTGGCCTTCCAGTACTTGAAGGGAGCGTATAAACAGGAAGGAGAACAGCTGTTTATGATGGTGAATAGTGATAGAATAAGGGGGAATGGTTTTAAACTGAGACAGGGGAGGTTCAGGTTGGATATTAGGAGGAAGTTTTTCACACAGCAGGTAGAACAGGTTGCCCAAGGAGGCTGTGGATGCCCCATCCCTGGAGACAATCAAGGCCAGGCTGGATGTGGTTCTGGGCAGCCTGGTCTGCTGGTTGGTGACCCTGCACATAGCAGGAGGTTGAAACTAGATGATCCCTGTGGTCCTTTTCAACCCAGCCCATTCTATGATTCTATGAAGGTTTTGCAGGAATAAAGAGAGCTCACCTTGTGGCCTGTTCTCAGTGTGCAGTGAAAGCATGTGGCACAGCACTGATTTTCAGTATGCCATAGCTGTATTTTTCTAGGCTGTATTACCTCGTGTTTTTGAGTCACATATACTATGAAAAAACTTGCTCTTTTCCAGCTGGAGCAGAAAGCTGTTGTGGGCATTGATTGCTGAAAGTTCGTGTGCTGCCTGTGGGTAGACTGGCACAAATCAAAGTCAACATCCATGCATGGGCAATCTAAACCTATTTTCTCTTCTGTTACAATAGGGGTATAAGCTCTCTGCCTCTGTTTGGCATGCATCAAGATAAATGAGTGGTGCAGGTTAAAGAAGTGATTCAGACTATTGTAGTTCAGTAGGAAAATCCTCTAGGTGGCAATAGGAAATGATTTGTTGAGTTTGTTTTTCTTACCTGTTGCTTCAGCTGCAAACTTCACCTCTCTGGAATCACACTGTTGGGCTGTATGGGGTCATCTCTTTACTCCTCTGCACCTTCTGTGTCTACTCTAATAGAAAAGCAGATTATGATTTACAGAGCATGATGATGTAAATATTACCACATGCTCAACGTTTATTTTTTTAACAGGAATCTTTAACAACATAGATTATTGGGGATGCATCTGTGTGCAGTTCACATATGTGTTGAACTTGAGGAAAAAGAAACCAACCAACAAAATTATTCTTTGTCAGGCACCCTCCATCTTCCTTTCTTGATGAATGAACTGGGGGCAGGTCTACACTCGTTTGGGTAAGGAAAGGATGATGCCATTGTGGACTCCAGCCTTTGACAGACTGGAGTTTGTCTTAATCACTTTAAAAGTATCAGGACTTAGCAAAGTAATGGCAGAAGTAGTTTATCGCTACTCAGAGGATTGGGATAAAGCCTGTGCACTAGATAAATTTTATTTAAATTCTCAAAAGAGAACTTGCATGGAACTGACATAATACATAAATTACACGTATGGCTCTTGCCTGTATACAGCAGAGTTGTATTTAGAGCTGCTTTTCTCCAAAGGCCAACCCTTCCTTTTTCTCGAACTAGTTCTCTTTCATTCTTTTCTTCCTTACTTCATATACTATGCATAAATGTGCATTATTTTGCATAGAATATATATATTTGCATAATATTACATAAGCGTAGGGTCTGTTTTCCCTTAACACCCACTCCAGGCATTCAGCATTTCCATTTCATACCTAAGTATTCTACATACAGCTCTATTCATTCCCCAGCCTTTCTATCCACCCACTCAGTCCTCAGACTCAATCCCCTGTTCCCTCTGCTAGTTCACTCAACACACTCACCTGTTTGTTTTTTATGTGCCACATACCCCCTAATTGGAGATGCTCATTGCAGCTCCATCTGCATGTTCTCCCTTCCTCTTATCTTTTATACAACAGGCAGAGGATGCTGGTTTGTGTATGTGAAGTGCTGAGAAGGGAAAAGGGGACAGCTAAGGAGGACCTAGAATGTATTACATGTATTCATAGTGGGGGAAAAAAAAAAATATGTGGGAGCCCTGGGAAAGGATGTGCTACACTACACAGGAGTGCTGCTGAGGAGGAGGCGGTTGGCCCAGGGAAGCCTGGGGAGCAGGATTTTAACCTCTGTGTGCTCTCTTCTCCCAGGGAGCTGCAGCAGCTTCAGGGAACAATGCAGCTGAACAGCCTCTTCCTTCTCCTCTGCCTTGCCCTGGGAGTGAGCAGCAGGTGGGAGTGCAGCACAGGCTCTGCCAGCTCCCGTACTCCAGGGAGAGAAAAGAAACCCCTGCCTTCAGCAGCATCACCCACTTCCTGCTTTTGGGTGAATAGGGAAAAACGAGTCCCCTCCTCCTCACCTCCCTTGGGGCTTTTCATGCTGCCTAGCTCCCTTCTTGCCACCCCCAATACATGGCATGCACCCCCCCAGTTTGAACACCCGTTCTCTCAAGTAAGTTACGCTCCAGCACCATTCATTTTTATAATTCAGTTTTAACCCACCAGGTATAGCAGTGGGTTGATGCTGACTTTTCAGTGTATTTTAAAATTACCAGTACGTCAGTCAGTTCTGATTACTTATGCAGTTGATCCTGAGGAGCTGTAACCCTGGTTTCACCCACACTGAATGCTAAATGCAAAGTGCTTTGACACTCAGGAGCTCTCATTTCCCTATCAAGACATCTGTCATCATTGAAAAGGAAAGTAGGTTTAGCATAAGGCATTTATTTATTGCTTACCAGTTTCAGTGGCTGTTAGATGTCTAAGCAGAGCTTTATTTAGGAAAAGCAAGATCATTGCTGTACAAAAGTATAAACTACAGCAGTGCTGTTAAACAGCCTCATATAAGGAAGGGGGGAGGAATGCTCTGTTTTTGTAACAGAGTAAAGAAATCTTAAGAGTGCCTTTGCCAGTGAAGTTAATACTATGATCGTGTGCAAGTCATGGAATAAACACACTTTGTTAGGGGTTTGCCTTTCTCCTGAAGGCTCTTTCTCCAGTTTCAGACCAGTAAGATTTCAGGAGCTGTCATTTATAGGACTGGCAGCAGAGGTAGGAGACACTTCTAGCACTAAAATTCACAGCTGAGATGAATTAACAGCTGGAGTAGACTGAAGGAAACTTTTCAGTTCCACAGGCAAATTTCAGTTTGAAAAATGCATTACCTTTTGCAGAAGTGCTGAATGTTCTCAAAACAAAGTGTACATGGAAAGTGTTTCTTCTGGGGTTGAGTTATACTGAATCTGAATGGACGAAGCATGACTAACCTGATGTACTAGCATAGTTTGCAAAGTACTTTCAATTAATGTGATAGATTCTGGCAGTGAAATAAATTCCTGCTTTCTCTGAAATAGTATTTTAATTGCACCTAACAAAAGCTGCCAAAAGAATAAACAGTATTTGCCTTTGCAAGTATTGCAAATAGTACCATATTATGGGATTGCATTTAAAAACACAGTGCCTTTGTAGTTCTTGTAGCGAGCCTGCATCTTTTCCTTCTGTTGCCTTTAGAAGAAAAAGTACAGTGTTTAGAAAGATGATTGTACAGAAGGATTATGGATTATGCAAAGCTGAAACTTCCCCTGTGTGAGCCTGTTGTACTTTATCAGCCTAGTAGAATCAGTTCAGCAATATTGCAGGGGGGGGGGGGGAAGCCTAATGCAACGCATGCATGAGCATCGCTTTTTGACTGCTGGAAAAATTACATTTGTCATGAATATGTGTATAACTTCTGAGACAGAGTGGGGGTATATGCATTGTAAATATGTGAGTTCATAGCAGGTTTCATGTGAATTCAAAGTCCTCATCATCTCCTGTTGCTTCAGTTAAATTTCTGGATACTGATGTCAGTGACACAGTAGGAAATCCACCATGGACGAGCCCTTACATTGAATCACAGTGAATTTGTGGGAGAAAAAGGTGCATCACATTAAGCACTTGCTTCTCTCCTCTGAAATATTGAGTCTCGCTGAACGTACTTTATATCTAGGTGCCTCAAAACAATGCTTCTTTAGGTAATGTAGCTGTTAAATACAACCTGTGTAAGGATCATAGAGGGACAAAAGAAGGTAGAAGGTAAGCTGGAGTTGACTTGAAATGGGTGTTTAAAAAGTACATGATTTGGAGCTGTCAGATCAGGAATTTCAAGTAAAATGTATAGAGCCACTGTTACTAAAAACAGCGTTCATAGTGTTAACAATGTGATGCAGTATGACAGGAACCTCTACCATCCCTTTGTGTCAGTTACACTTACAGATTTGCACCAGAGGATTATAGTGCTGGGGTCTTGGCTGACTCCCTGTTTCCAAATATGTTTTCAGATTCGGTTCCAGTTCAGTTTCAGCTATAACTGAAGTTGCTCTGATTTGCAGCTGAACAAAATAATTAAATTGAACTAATTCTTCTACCAGATTTCCTTGCTTCAGATCTTCCCAAATATCTAGACAATGGTTGGATAACCTTTTGGCCTTTTGTCTGCATTGTTGTTTTTAATAGTACAGTGTGAGGTCAGTAGTGCTACAAGACAGGCTGAGAACTTTCTGGGAATGTCTTCTGCCACCAGTGGCCAAATGGCCCTGCAGTGAACCATCCTCTGCTGATTTTCTCCTTGAAAAAGGCATTCAGATGTGGAACAGCTAGCTCAGTTCTGACCAGTTGCATGAGAAGTCACAATGAAATTGTGCTTTCCATCTCATCTTCTGGTCTCATAACGTTGCATGTGATTTAGATGTGTAGTTAGACCTTATGACTCCTTTTTAGAGGTGGTCGCATTGGTCTCGTGTCTTCGTTTTCCCCTTGACTGATAAGATCTGTATCATTTCTTTTGACAGGTAATTGGAAAGGATGATGTGGCAGTGCCATCCCACCTCTACAAGGTGATCCTTGCCCGGCGGACCCGAACGTCCACTGAGCCTTTGGTACTGGGGGCTTTTGTGGTGCCAAATGATCCCATAGGCTTCAGTCACCAGCTGACTGAATTCCAAGTCAATATTGAAGATCTGGAAAAAATGTCAGGTTTGGTTTTCTTCCCCCAAGTGGACAAAACCAAAGATGTTAAAGATATCTGTGAGGTGGACACCTGTAAACTGATGGGGTTCAAGGAGTTTACATTGTACATCGTTACCCGAAAAGTGCAGAGTGCCCGGACGTTGCACCGGTTGGAAAAAGCCATGTCAGAGTTAAAGGAGGCAGGAATTGAGCCTGATGAGTATCTTCTCAAGCTTCACAAGAAGAAGGAGGAAGAATTACAGCAGGAAAAACAAATAGAACAAATAGCAGCTAGAGAGGGGAAGGCTGGCTGAGTACTTGGTTAGGAAAATGCTTTTTTTTTTTTTTTGTACTTGGAGGGGGGAGCCAAGGCAAACAGAAAAGCAGTGTCTTTATAAATTATCCTTTTCTGAATTAGGAAAACAATAAAGAAACATTTGGCTGTTGTTGGATTTGGAATAATGCTCATTCTTGTGTAACATGATGCCCGCACATGGTTTGCTGCAGTGTTTAGATGTGGGAAATGAAAATGACCCCTTTCTGGCATGAATGGATTACAGGACCTCCAGAAAAGGCTTTGTGCTATTTTCCAAGCCAGACGTCAGACTTAGGGGTTGTATGGAATCCCTTCTAGGAATACAATAAAAATAGATGGTAGACACCTTGGGAGTATAACTGGAACGTGTCTGAATGTAATTCAGCCTGCAATTGTCTTTCAGTATGATGCTATAGAAACAGTAGCTTCTGGAAGTTTATAAATTAAATCAATTAAGAAATATTTTATTTAACTCTTCTGACAGAGGCTTGTAAGGCATAACCTGAATCCCTTGCAATCTTTATGTAGTTGTGGCAACCAAAACAGATTGTCCCTTACCTCTCCTGACCTCACATTCTTTGGGTACTTCAGCATGTCAGGAGCTGTGAACTGTTGTCATTTGCAGTGGGCTTCTTCCATTCATGTGTAGCCCTCCAGATACACAGAACAATTAAGGCAGAGTTTACACAGGTTGCTGCCCCTGTAGATTACATCTTCAGAAATTAGTGTAAGCCTGGTGTTCCAATTTCATCGCTCAGTTTTGATAAACATGTGTTGTTTATTTGAGAGGCGAATGCTGCTCTCCTTTGGTTTGTGGTGGTCACTCACTCTGTCTTGTATGCATTTTCAGACATCAGTAAATCAGTATCCTTTGAGATTGTCTGGAAAGGAAGTGTAAAAATTGACAATATTAAAAATACTTGCTAGTGGCAAGTATCTTTTTGGGAAGAAACTTTTCATAGTTCTAAAGGTGAGAACTAATATTTTTGAGGAGGATCTTGTGCTGGGTGGATTGGGTTGTTTTCATGAAGAATGAATCAGGAGCATTATTTGGATGTTGTGAATCACTGATGTGGATGTTCTAAAAACAGTCTTGTTTCCTTTGTCTCAGCTCAGTGCATTATCCAAAAGCAGATCACTTTATAACATGATTATGGTTCCCATGATACTTCTGTGTTTGCAAAGAACACTTTTACAAAATCCAGACATTTTAAAACCAGGGAAGCATTCCTAGCTAAGGCCATCATAAAAGCTTGCTACCCACATAAATTGTGGAAAAATGGGGTAAAATCCTTAGAAAATATTCACTCATTTCAATTTTAGCCCAGAATTTTGGTTGTTAATTTTACCAAGTGTAACAAAACAACCACAAAAGGACAAGCTAACTCTTGCTTTGCACAACCTAGATGTCAGTGTATATTAACTGGTGTCAGCCTCCACGGAACAGGAACTTGGTCATTGCTTTTTGCATCGTCTTTCTCTTTTCCACATTATCTATATTACATAGGGTTTTAGTTAAACCTTCCTGCTTCCTCTTTGTCTTTCATTTTTTTTCAGCTGAAAGGGCAGATGCCCGAACACTGAAACACTGCAGCTGAAAACAGATCTCTGTACTTCGGATATGCATCCATCCACAACAAAAACCTGTTGTTGGTAAGGCACTCCCTGTCTTCCCACTACAACAGCAGCAGAAGTGCCAAGGGTGATTCACCTGATGGAGGCCAGCTATGGAGAGCAGCTTCTCCCTCACAGTACCTCCTTGGGCTTTCTTTGCCCCACTGAATTTCTGCAAGGCCCACTTACCATAGTTTTTATGCCTGGTGAGCCATCTCTACAAGAAATTGCTTCAAGATCCTTCATGAGTGTGATGCTTGTGTCTGTGTGCAACTTGTGTACGCATGCTTGTTTGCATCTTTAGTGACAATATGAACCTCTGATGCACCTAAGCACCAGGAGTCCCTGAAACTGAGGAGACTGTCCTTTGTCTGCTGTTTCAGTGTGTTTGTTCCTATATCTAAATAAGCTGACTAGGGAGGGAAGCTGACAACCAAACTGGCCGTGCCCTGATATGGTAATTTTGTGATATTCCATCATCTGCCTACTCCTGATTGTTGCTGCTAGACTTGAATCAGGCTGGAAGTGGTGTTGAATAGGACAGTGATGTCTGTAATATCACGGTGAGAGTTGCTGCTCTCAGCTCCTACTTTCACCCCATTTCAGGGCTGCTCATGCTGCAGTCAGTCCCAACTCAGTGCACTTTTGGGATTTGGCCTTTTGGTGGCAGACTGCTTCTGCACTGTCAGCCTGGGTGGCCAGAAATAGGAATTAAGAATCTCTGGCCCGTGATAGCTGTCTTTCTGCTTGTGATACTGAGATACCCATTTAAAATGAATTGTTTCAAGCATTGTACTGACAGGGCAGAATGGAACAAATCATTTTACCTGGACAAGGGTTTTGGCAGTAATGTTTGAAAGTGCCTTGAGATTGACCAGCCAAATCTGCAGCAGAGATGATTTTGAGTCCAGCTTCTCCATGAATCTCTTGCAAGGTGAGGATTTAACCCTGCAGTGCTACTGCTTTGCATCTGTAAGTGAAACTTCCTGAGGAGCACTTTTTAGTTGTTAGTTATTTATTTTTGTGTGGTCAGCTCACTTTGGAGCACCATTTTACAGTTTTCAATTTGCACATCAGTGGGAAAAATGAGTCTCATTTGCTGGTTGTGCTGTGCTGACTTGTGGGGAAACACTCCCTGTCCTGAGAAAAGTAAGATGAGAAAAGTGTTAGATACAGCAAGAAACAGCTGGAAGGGGAGAACCTACACACCCAGAAACTTGAGGGTTTTGTTCATAAAAGGGTTTCTGAGGTGCTGCAACAGCCAACTTTGCATCCTGTCTGTCACTGGAATCATTTCCCCTGATGGCGACAGTTGGGTGGCCCATAGAACAACTGGCAGTGTGTAAATAGCAAAGCCCAGGATCTGTAGAAGCTGCCAATTTGTCCAGCAGAGAGGGCATGGGCACTGAGTTTCACACAGGTTTTTTTGGTCGTGAGCCTTTTTGTGGAATTGATTTACATGGGAAGATGATGAAATGGAGGCACTGCTGGCAGTAACCACCCAGCTGAGAGGGTGGGTAGGAGGGGGCAGAGAGGATGAAGCCAAGCTCATATCAGTGATGCCCAGCACCAGGACAAAAGGCAGTGGGCACAAACTGGAGCACAGGAGGGTCTCCCTGAACACCAGGCAGCACTGTTGCACTATGCGTGTGTGCTGGAGCCTCAGAAAGTTGTGGGCTCTCCTTAGAGATGTCCAAAAGCTGCCAGGGGCAGGTGGGGCAGGTGGGACCAGATAGACCCAGAGATCCTGCTAACATCACCCAGTCTGTGGTGCTGTGTTTTAACCTGTTGGAAGTAAACCCCAAATCCTTCCATGCCCATCCTGTCCCCGTGTGTTTGTTGCCTGGCAGTGAAACTCTGGAGGAATGATGTATAAACCCCAAAGTACTCCTGCTAGTAGCCTGGCTCAGTGGGGAACTGAAGAGCAATTTTGCTGTTATTTTTGAATCTTGAATTGTCTTCTCCTGCAGTCGCACAGGAAAAGCTTTTCTCACCATGCAGCGAAGCAGATCAGCAATCGGCAGCCTTGTGGGAAATGTTCCTTTTTTTTTTTTTTTTTTTTTTCTGATTCAGGTCCATCTAATCAGCTCCACCTACGCAGTGGCAGTGGAGCCAGTTCTCTCACACATCCTAACAGCTATCTGCCTGTGCAATTAATGGCTTATCTGCTTTTGCCATGGTTTGGAAGAAAAAGCTGAACAAGAGCTGGAAGTATTTGCTTAAAATATCAGAAGTGTCTCTGTGGATGCTCTGGGGTGGATGCTACAAACATCCCCCCCCCCTTCCCATGCTGTAAAATATTACAGAGCAATTGGCCGTTCCTGCCGTGCCCTTCAAACAGGGCAGGTTTCCCACCTGCCATGTGAAAAATTAATGGCTGTGGCGACATAATGTTCCCAAAATACTCACTTCGAGGAGCTGAATGTGAGGCTTTTGATGTTGGTTGGAAGGTCTGGTGGTTGGCATCCCAGCTTCCCCACCAGCGCTTCAGCAGTTGGGGAGAGAAGTGGAAAACGGAATGAAGTGCTTCCAGCTCTGCTTAAGGAACAGAGTGGAGGTGGTTGGGTGATCACAGAGGTAAGTTTGGCTTGTGCCAAGAATAAGTATTTTCTAAGAGAACAGATACAGACCCTTGCATACCTTCTTGAGCAGCTTTCAGCAGCTGATGGGGCAAGGATTGGCATCAAGCATGTCTTGAGCTGGGAGCAGCATCCCTCCTGACGCTGCTGGTAGTCATAGAAGATCCCAAAATAGAAGGGACCCATAAGAATCATTGAGTCCAACTCCTGTCTCTGCATAGGACCATGCAAAAATCAGGCCATAATAGAATCACATAATGTCCTGTGTTGGAAGGGACTCAGGAGGATCATTGAGTCCAGCTGTGTCAAGTCCCATCCCAGATGCATCCCTTTGGAGGAGACCAGCCTGCCTCCTTGACTGTGTGAGCCAGGCAGCTTGGATCAGGCCATCCAGCATCTCTGTGGACCAGAGCCTTGATATCTCATAGATGGTGTGCCTTGATCTCCAGTAGCTGGGTTGGTGCTTGTGACTTGTTCACTGGGAATGCAACATTGCAGAAGTTACAAAAGCAGAAGGAAGAGCAAATGAGAGCCATGTGTCTCAGTCTGGTTAAAATCACACGTAGATTCTACTTCATAAAATCACAGAATCACAGAATAACTTGAGTTAGAAGGGACCTTAAAGATCATTGAGCTCCAATCCTCTGCCATGGGCAGGGTTGTCCCCCATCAGCTTAGGCTGCCCAGGGCCCCATCCAACCTGACCTTGAATATATCCAAGCATAGAGCATCCACAGCTCTCTGGGCAGCAGTGCCAGTGCCTTACCACCTTCTTAGTAAAGAATTTCTTCCTAACTTCAAGCCCAAATTCAAAAATAACTATTTTTGTAAACTCCAACCTTACACATTCCTCCTCACATTGCTGTTTTGTGCCCTAGCTGATCTCTTTCCCAGTGCAGCGTGCAGGCTGGCCATGCCTAAGCACCTGTATGGCAGAATTAAACAGTGGC